CCAATGCATTGCATATACTCTATGAATAATACTCTGATGATGATAATTCCCACAAGTTTTGGCAATTTATAAGAAATTTTTTGATTTTACTTTGATTGGCCACTAATTTTTGTAACTATTCGTATTGAATTTTAACCAAAAAACACCTTTGGCATTGCGAAAACATTCCATTTGTATACAATTTAGCTTGTAAATAAAGACGAAATTGTTGGCGGCGGTCTGGCGATCTGGGCTAGCTTTAATCTTACTGTTTAAGGGATCTCTAAACTATTGACCCCACCACTCTACCCTTAAGGCAATTAAAAGTTGAGATTGGAAGCCACGCAAACGAGATAGCCCAGGTTGCTATCGAGCGACTGACTGAGCGGACAAATGGAATGTTGCATGTTCTTGTTGCTTTTTGAAAGTTCTGATTGAGTTCTCCCCCTTTGCCCTAACTCGCATGTCCTGAGTTTTATTTGATTTGTTTTCTCTCTTTTTTTATTTAATCTTTTGTTTGGAATGATGCTAACCACAAAACAAAACGAAACCCAATTGAATGATATAACAAAACAAATGCATACGACAATCAACAACATCACAACGTATAAAATGAAACAAAACAAAAAATAAAATACACTCGCGAAACGACACAACAACAACAATTAGCGACATCCACCAGCTCGTCGCTGCAAGAGCCTCGATTTGATTCAGTTTCTTCAACACCAGAACCGCCCCCGGAATCCCCAGTAGCAGCAGCCACGCCCAGCAGTCCCACGGAGAACGGAGTAGCCACCAAATCAGTGGAGCGTCCCGAGTTGAGTGGTCTGAATGCGAGTGCCAAGGCAACCACAACCACGCAGACATCGCCCACGGAGGAGAAGGTGGTGGTCAGTGAAGTGAAGCCATTGGAAACTGAAGGAGCAACAGTAGCAGCAGCAGAAGCAGCAGCAACACCACCAGTAGCAACACCTGCCCCACCAGCCACACCTGCCCAAGTGAATGGCAACAACAATGAGCCCTCGATTCCCAAGGAAGGTGGCAAACATCCCAAGGAGCTGCCTTCCAACACATCGAATGCAGAAGCTGCTGCCGAGGCGGCGGCCAACAATGGCAACTCCATCGAGGAGCACAAGCAGAAGAAATTAGGTAATGACACAACAGCAACAGAAACCGACACAGAAACAGTCACCGTCACCCAGCACTTAGTCACATCGAGTGATACAGATAATAAGAGTGTAACCAAATCAGAAACCGATTCGAGTACTAAGACCAGCACAGGCACAAGTCAGAAAGGTAGACCAGTACCAGTAGTTAGTAGGCACAGCGTAAATAATCCTAACAAGAATCCGTTCGAGGATGACGACGAACGCATCTACGAGGTGCCCGCTGGTGAGTAAACCTCCAGAAACGAGTCCACTGGGTGTCCGCACTCGCTTCTAACTATCACACTGTAGTACTTTCCTCACTATCTCTTCGCATCCCTCGATGGATCACGTCTTCTAATCTTCTGTAATCTAAGCTTTAGTCTCCTGTGTGATTGTCGTCGTCTAAACCGAATTGAGGATTACTGTGTATGGGTATTGTATTGTAAAACGATTGCGTGTGGCATGCTGCGTGGGGCATCCACAACGGCAGGATCTCAATCTCATTTCCTGGGCTGTGCATCTATCTCTGTTTTCCATTTAGTACCATTTAGAGCTTAGACTAAGCCACTTCATGTTGTCTTAATGCGGGACTCCAACACGTAGGTTTGTCGTACAACTATCTCTATAATAATCACCCATCAAAATCAATCCACCATTGCTTGCACGTTCGCTGCTTCAGTCGTTTATCGGTTGGTTTTTGCCCAACTTTTTCACCCCACTGAAAAACTAACTGCCCCAAAAACTTATAAAAGCCTGAGAAAGCGCCACAACCACTAACACCTTTTGGCCAGGATTGCGTTACCGTTGTTCTTTGTCTACTAAACTCGGTTATGAAACTTTCGATGTACACTGTGTGACGTACAAGGTAGCCATTACCCGCAAATAGATCTTAAGTTGGATACCATTTATTTATCCGAACAGATGCCAATACCGCTGACTTGCCGCCCGGCGTTCTTTACCGAGTGAAGGCCACCTACGGCTACGTCAAGGAGGATGTGGACGAGCTGAGCTTCGAGATCGGAGACCTTATTCGCGTTATCGAGTACGACGATCCCGAGGATCAGGTAAAGTCGATTGATTAGAGCTGTACTCTTGTTATACCCCAGCAGATGGTTTTGAGAACAAATAGGGCGGTTTTCTTAAATATAAGTAAGCCTGTATAAAAAAAATATAGTATTTAGATATATTTTTTGGTAACCAAAATTAAATTATCGTGCTACAATGCGGATTAGATTGGATTGAATACGGAATACGGATTGTTTCATCGTAGTATTCCATGAAATTTCTGATTTGTTTAATTCAATTGCTAATTCATTTCGAATTATTTTTATGAATTTTTTGAATTTGCCAGAAATGTTTTGTGCTTTCTTTTGAGAACAAAAAGTATAACATTTTTAACAAATCAATTTTAACAGCATAGTAAATAAAATTCAGGCAGATTAAACCACAAAATGATGGACCTTTTTTCTTCAAAAGAAATTGTCGTTTGAATTATTTCAGAATTTATGCCATTCATTCAATTAAACTCAAAATTTAAATTCATTCAATTCTATTTAACTCAAAATTCAAATTAATTCATTCATATAAATCAAAAAAATTCAAAAGATTTCATTGAATCAATTCATGCAGCTCTCTTTTACGGATAGAAGTTCTAGAATTATTCTGAATTCTAGAACAAAACATTTTCTTCTAAATATTATTATAAATCTGCTCGGGTATCACGCACTTCGGAATCCGAAGATAAACTCTTCCCTGAGCTTTGCACGCGCTAGTTTCCCCCTCCGCGCCAAATGCAGACCTCGGCACTTCCTGTCTATATTGAGTTCAGTTCTTCATTGCCAACTTGCAGGAGGAGGGCTGGCTGATGGGTCAGAAGGAGGGCACCACCGAGAAGGGACTCTTCCCCGCCAACTTCACGCGTCCCATCTGAAGTGACCAACTGCGGAGCAACTGGGCTAGCAACGAACCATCAGCAACTTCAGTTAAACCATAAAACACTTTCGAACGGAGATCCCCATTTAAACTTTCGGCCAAATTTTCTTTGTGAGCGCTGCTTTCGTTTTTGTCCATTTAATAAATTCTTGTTTTGTGAAATGTATTTAGGGATTGGCAATCCAGTTAAGGGATTGTTCGAGCAGTGCTTCCAACCATAAATTGTTATTGTTAACGAGAACCACACAACACAAAGAAGAACGCAGATGAGGAACGAGAGAGAGAATATTTTGAAAATGTTTCAAACATTATTTTTTAGTTCTAAGTTTCAACAAAATCTAAAGCATAAACCTACGTATACATATATTATTTGTTAATCCTATTATTGTGCTCATAATTAATGCGAACAAAACGTATCTAATTTGTAATTTGTTGAAGGCAAACCACAAATGTAACGCATATCACTCGAAAGCCAGAGTAATTGTTAAACAAATCAAAAGTCGGAGGAGATAGCCTGAACCTTTTGTATTTTGTGTATTTTGCAAATATGTAGTACGAGTTTTTTATAGTCAATTGAGTGTATTTTTGGGGCGATGCAAAAAAGGCCAGATGTATTTCCTCTGTGGTCCCCGAAGTTTTGGAAATTGTTTTCAAGTAACAAAACTTTAACGTTTAGCGATTATGTGTATCTTAATTTGTACTTTGGTTTTTAATTTTCGTCTGAGAGACTCAAACTAGCTGCAGCTTTATAACACGAACACAATCCAATAGTCACTAACCGATCGATTCGATGTTTTTATTTTATTTAACTCGATTGTAAATCACACGAGACCCGAAATAATTGTTTAAATTGTGCACACACTGTAAAGTTATTATTTTAATTTTATTTAATTAATTTAAACACTTATTTATCGCATGAACATATTGAACAAATGATAATAATTTACAGAAAGCAAATAAAACATAGATTAAATAAGAGGAATGTTTTAATTTGGCGGGCGATGGCTTTGGGATTCGGTGCGGTGGCAACAACAACAACTACTATTTTGACCGCAGCTGTATGTTTTAAAGTTTTTTGACTATGTTTTCTGGAATTTATTTTTGCCTTAAAAAAAATCCTAAAATTATTCTAAGTATGGGGTTTGAAAGACAAAGAGTGTATCTTTTAAAAAACTTTAACATCGAATCGAGAGCTCTGGAAAGTTGGCCAATTTCAGCATTTTTTGAACTTTGAGGTCCTTTTGCTAAACATCCTTGCGTCGGGGAACTTTTTGGAAAACCCAGTTTAACTTGGGAATTCGTAACAAATCCAAAAATATAGCATCCATCGAGGTACATTTAAAAAGCACTAAAAATGCTGCACAGTGTAATTGTAGGGCGCTTATCGTAGTAGTGGAAAAATAGCTAGTCGTCTATTTCTGTTTTGAATTATTTTGTCGGAAAATTATTAGAAACGCTTACTAGCGGGAAAGTAGCTATTAAAATACCAAAAAATACTTGAAGTGGGTATTTCTGCTCGAATTTAGTTTGGCGCGAAATTAATTGAAACTAGCTTTTAAAATACCAAAAAATAGCTAAAGATTAAAATATCAATCCAACCAATCAAATTGGTAATCATTCTTTTAGAAGATAAAAATGCATTTTATACAATTGTAAGCGTATTAGATCACAAAAACCTTAACTTATTTAATAATAATTAGAAGTGCTGGATAAAGTAGTTTTAATGTTGCATTTTACCAGTTTTTGAATATAGAAAAAAAATGTTTTTAGTTTGTAGTTTTTAATTTGGGTCTCATTAAAATTAATTCAGTTTTTATTCCATCAGAAGGTGTCGACTAATTTTCTAGTCCCTAGTAACGATTGCAGTCCATCGATACATCGATACATATACATCGTTCATCGGAAAAACACACTTGTACATACAAATATCGCATACGATATTTCGTTCGCAGAATGAAATGAACGGCGAGTTTTTTAGCTAAATTTCCAATCGTGAGTGAAAAAGAATGGTCAAAAGATAGGCGGAAAAGTTTGCTGCCGGCTGCGACAAACATATAACACCAAAGCGTCGAAATAAACGCTCTTGATCGCGACCAAAATGTTGAACAACGTTTTCTGCCAACACATACATACACACGCACATTGTGTATGTACCAACGATGTGGGTGTGGTGTGAAAAAAGTGAAGAATACTAAGAAAAAGTTAGTTAGTGGCTAGTTTGTTGCTAGATTCTATGTGCTTTTTCGCCCCCAAACGGCGAACTATTCTTATTTGGGTCCCAACGGGTATCTTGGATAGTTTTCGCTTCCGGGGTGTGTGTTTACAGTATGATGATGATTTTCCGGAATGCATATTCCTTTTTTCCACCCCCTCCACCCATGCCACCCCCCCAGTCGTCTCTTTATCTCTCTGTCTCTCTTCTTTTACTTGCAGTTCCACTGCATACAGAAAAATAAACAAATACAAGAAGCATAAAGTATGCAGAAAATTAAATACAAAAGGAGCCACTGAGTGTTTCGTGTGAAATCAATTTGAAGACCGTCGTCGTCGCCGTACATACTTTTCCGTTTCAATTACACTACAATGAATATTTGTTGAAACTTCGTTGCATTTACAGACTGGTGTTTAAAAACAACAACAAGAAACGACAGAAAACAACAACAACAGCAGCCCTCATACACACGAAGAACCAGAAGAAAAAACTATATATATCCACATATATATAAATAGTATCATATTTACATTTAAAGGAAGCCGAACAGACGTAAACGTAACTTTTATATTACAAAGCACCAGTAAAAATAAATAACCAACTACACACGTTCCTTAAAAACAAATGTTTTCCAAACCGCAAACCAACTAAAAACGAAATGCTTTTGAAATTAATTTAAGCTAACTAAATATAAAAGGCAAAACCAACCAACAAACCGCAAAATAAAAACGCGTGATTAAATTAAATAATTTAAAAACATACCGAAAATTCGGCAGGGAACCAAAAGCAAAACTCACGATAAGCCCGGAAACCGAAATTTCATACTTTTTGTATAAAATAGTGCTAGCAAAAACCAAACGAGGGAATCACCGGAACATCTTTTTGGAGAATCTCGCCTCAATATCTTAGAACCCGTGTCTCCGCAAAATTGTTAAGTAAGTAATAGAAAAAGTAAATAAGAAACTTAAGATCTGGAATTATTTTTAACTCGACCACTTGTTGCCTGGTATTATTCTTTGGGATCTCAAAAAATCGATTTAGGAATCAATCGAGGGTGTCTTTTCCAACCGAAATCCGTTATGGTTCTGTAAAAGCATAAAAGTAAAATATCAGTCATGAGCCATGTTCATTTCCTTTAAGCTAAAAGATATGTAAAAAGATCCAAAATAAAGTAAATATCTTAAATAAAACCTAAAACCATTAAAAATTACTTCTGAACGAAGGTTTATTATAACTGTAATCATGGAGATTTTTCCCACCTAAGACTTGTTATCCTTCATTAAAATCAGGGAACGTAACTGTTATAACTTTTATTTTAAAAATCACACTTTAACAGTTATTTTCTGATTTGTAAAGTAAAACTCAAAGAATAACTGTTATTTTTTGAGTTTTATAATAAAAGTTGACAAATAACAGTTATTCGTCGTGATCAAAAATAAAACTCAAACTTGATTTATGGCGATTTTGTGGGTAAACAAAATTTTAAAAAATATAGGTATAAAATATGTGCGGTTGCCTTTTTTAACAAATTTTTAGTAAGTTATAAAAAGCACGGGTATCATGTTTTTTTATATTATTTCATTTTTTCAAAAATGTCAAGGAAATAACTGTTATTCATAAAAATCAAAAATTAAAAGTTATTTTTGAGTTTTATTATAAAAATCAAAAAATAAAAATCATTACGGATTTGTAAACTACAATGGCTAATAAAAATTGTGGTGTATTTAAAAAATTTTTAGGACCTTTCGAAGTGCGTGATTTTTTTGTATGAAAAATTTACAATAACAGTTATTTTCGTTCCCTGATTAAAGAGAGAACTAGTATTCAAAAATAGTTTCCCTTCAAATGATATATGAAGGGAAACTATTTTTGAATACTAGTTCTCTGGATATATTCCATACATTTATTTTTATTAGGGATTTCAAAATATCTTACTATATCTAGCTCACGATTACTCCAGGGCATGTAAAGTGAGGATTCGATAAGGTCTCAAAATCAGTAACAAGCTGGCATTTCCGATCTAGAATCGGTTTTTAGAAAACGGACTGCAATAGGAACAGCCCACTCCAAAAGAACAGTAGCCGTCTAAAGATTAAGAAGACAACTCAAACCTTATCTCTGACTGGTTTATCATAAGCATATACATATGTAAGGCAGATAAGACCAGTTCTCGTTGGGTTACTCTCCCTCCGATTTGGTGGCATGATATATCTGGCAAACTATTGTTAAAAAACGCTCCATTGCGCCAATTGCGTGCCCCTGCCCCTGAATTTTGCGGCTACTGCTAATTAGATTTTGTGGCTTTGCTCAGCGAGAAATGTTTTCCCGAGTGCAGTCCACTAATCCTGGTTCTGAACCGGCTAGCCATGACTTTACAAAGATCTCCGCATTCTCCCACCAACGCCCGCCATTTCCCCCTGCTGGAATTTTGTCAAAAATATGGCTACATATTCCATCGATATTTGGTAGTGTCCACGTTGAAAACCTTACCTCGGCCCGTGTCAATGTATTCGCCAACAAAATTGGATTAGCAATCACTCGATATATGAACAGTGGGCAGGAAAAGAGAGGAAATAGCTACGGACTGCAGGTTATAGGCTATATTCTATAGGCTTGCCCTACGCTGAACCCATGAATGAACGACATCGTTGGGTGGACCAAAACATATGGAAAAAATATATAAAAATAGTCTAAAGAATCGATTGAAATAGAAAGTTTAAATTATCAAATAAAAATAAATCCTTGTTTTGTTATTAACATTTTGTAAAATGATTTACTGACCTCTAATTTCCTTGAATAATATTAGTTGATCATAAGTTGAAAGAAAATCAAGAATTTTGATATCGTAGAGGCTAGTAAAATGCTCTTGTTGTGATCTAGAAATTTACGCCAATTCGATTTACCTGGGATTCCTTTACCCAGCTCTTTTAAATCGAGATTGGTTCACTCGCATAGAACGAAGCCATATATTTACCAAAATCAGCTTTCTTGCAATGAACCTGACTGGGGGCCATTGGGCGAACGCTTCCTCATCTATTGGCACCTGGTGGAGGGCGATCCCAGGTCTGCGCAGAGAGAGCCGACCCAGACCAGAGCCAAAGCCAATGCCATGGCCAGAGGAAGCCAGGGGTAGCCATGGGTAGCCATGGGCCATCGATGTCCGACGTCGTCGTCATCGACGTCGCCAGCTTGTGGGGCAGGCTAGCAAATATGAAATGTTAATTGCCAGCACGGGACACAACGTGGCGAACTCTCGTTGAGCTAACAACTCTGGTGGTCCGTAGAAGCCATTGTTCCATAGATCCTACGGTATATGCATTATGCAAGCCAGTACTAAATCAAAGCTTCGCCTCTTTGCAGATGTTCTTGGATCGTTCGATGTGGTCTTCGTTCATTTGTAGCCATCACTCTCAACCTCCGAGTCACCGAAATCTGGTCAAGGACTTAGCGTAGACCCGAAATTAGCAATAGCAAAAGCCAAAGAGAGCCTGGATCGTGAGCGGCGGAGGAGATAGGATCTGCAGAGCAAGCAACGCCGAAGTACAAATGTATCAATCGAAACTGTAACAGAATCTGTAACTTGGAACGGGTACAAAGCACTTCCCTTGGATGAGCACGCAGCTAGGACACGTTGAATTCAGCGCCCGCCACACAAGCAATTAGTTAGGCGACCGAGGGTCCAGAGAAGGGAGTCCAGGAGACCATCCCACCATTCAAACAGCATACATTTTCTATACGAAACGGCCTGTCGAGCGTAGTGGCAGCAGCACGCGAAAGCGTCCATAAATCTAGTTAGCATGGAGTGCTGTTTATCGGAGGAGGCCAAGGAACAAAAGCGCATCAATCAGGAAATCGAAAAGCAGTTGCGCCGGGACAAGAGAGATGCGCGCCGCGAGCTTAAACTGTTGCTGCTGGGTAAGTGGAACATGGCACATGGCACATTTTGATTGCACTTAGCTTTGGCTTAATGCAATTGAAGGCGGCTGGCTAATTGCATTGCATGCCCGGTATTTATGGCTATATATTTTCCAATCCTATATCCCCAGGCACGGGCGAGTCCGGCAAGTCAACGTTCATCAAACAGATGCGTATTATCCACGGCAGCGGCTACTCGGACGAGGACAAGCGTGGGTACATCAAGCTGGTTTTCCAGAACATATTCATGGCCATGCAGTCAATGATCAAGGCAATGGACATGCTGAAGATTTCCTATGGTCAGGGAGAGCATAGCGTAAGTGGAATCCAGTACATGTGCGATATATCTTAAAAAACTAAAATCATTAACAGGAGCTGGCCGATCTGGTGATGAGCATCGATTACGAGACCGTTACCACGTTCGAGGATCCCTACTTGAATGCCATCAAAACGCTATGGGACGATGCTGGCATCCAGGAGTGCTACGATCGTCGTAGGGAATATCAGCTGACTGATTCAGCCAAATAGTGAGTTACCCGTTGACATGCAAACGGAAAGGATTATATATTCTTGCCCAAAAATCACCCCACAAACTAACTGTTGAGACTGAAACCACTGACTGTGCCAACTAAATAAATTATCTTGTTTATGTATAGTTATCTGAAGGATCTCGATCGTGTGGCTCAACCTGCATATTTACCCACTGAGCAAGACATTTTAAGAGTTCGTGTGCCGACAACAGGGATAATCGAGTATCCCTTTGATTTAGAAGAAATCAGATTTAGGTACATACCACCTTTTTCACATTATTCAATTGCATGTGTCTGATTTCTCGTTTGGTTATGGTTCGATTAATTTTATTTGTTAACTAAAATCTTCAGAATTCCTTTAGCGCATGTCTTTCGAGGGACGTAGGTAGGGCCATCTGCAAAGTTAGTGGACTGGGACGGATTGTAAAACTATTCTAGGCTCGGTTATTGTTTACTTTCCTAAAATCTATCTATTAATCTAATTTAGCTACTTGAGCGACATAGCTCGAATTGAACAGGCTGATTACTTGCCAACTGAGCAGGATATTCTGCGTGCTCGAGTGCCGACAACTGGCATTCTTGAGTATCCATTCGATTTGGATGGCATTGTGTTTAGGTATCTATTCAAAGTATAAAGCGATAAATTACTGAGATGGCTAGTAATGTAAACGGTGATGATACAGCTAGTAAAAGACTATTTCGTATTTGTATCAGTTACTAATATTATTTGTGGCTTGCGCTTTTAGAATTCTATGCTTTTATGTTTTGCTTTAAATGTAAGTGATCTTAGTTAAAACTAATTATTAATAAAACAACATTTCTAATAAACAGAATGGTGGACGTCGGAGGTCAGCGATCCGAGAGAAGAAAGTGGATCCATTGTTTTGAGAATGTGACATCAATTATATTTTTGGTAGCGCTATCGGAATACGATCAAATCTTGTTTGAATCTGATAATGAGGTATAAAAATAAATCTTTTGGCAAACTGTGTTGCAATTATTAACCTACTTAATTATTTTCAGAATCGAATGGAGGAATCTAAAGCTTTATTTCGTACTATAATTACATACCCATGGTTCCAAAATTCGTCCGTTATTCTTTTCCTGAATAAGAAGGACTTGTTGGAGGAGAAAATAATGTATTCGCATTTGGTAGACTATTTTCCTGAATACGATGGTAAGTGTTTCGAATGTTAAAAGTGGCCATAATTATGTACGATTTTATGCGCCGATAAACCAGGTCCAAAGCAGGACCACGCCGCGGCAAAGCAGTTTGTTTTAAAAAAGTACTTGGCCTCCAATCCAGATCCCGAACGTCAATGCTACTCGCATTTCACTACGGCCACAGGTGGATTTTCACCTTATGTACTTAAGCTCTTTGTAATTGCCTCAAAATGCAAAAATCATCCGTAGATTATATGCTAGTTCCTGTAGTACCACGCTAGATGTAACATTCTATTTGCCTTCTTATCAAAATAGGTCCTCAGCGAGATGCAATAGCGGCCCGAGAATTCATACTGCGAATGTTTGTAGATTTAAATCCAGATTCCGAAAAAATTATCTATTCTCATTTCACCTGTGCTACAGGTAAGTGTTTTATATTGGTTTGGTGTATGTGATAAGATGTGAATCGGATGTGTGGATGTGATTCTAATTTTCAGCCTAAAAAGTGTGGTTAAAAGGTAAAATATGGTCTGTACAACATTTGCATTTGCTTTTGCCGCCGTTCGATAGTAGCGTATTGCTAGTCAAAATACATAAAACCCAATTAAACTGATTTTAATAAAACGATGATCTCTTGGTAAACAGATACCGAAAACATCAAACTTGTGTTCTGCGCTGTCAAAGATACAATTATGCAAAATGCACTTAAGGAATTCAATTTGGGCTAATCTGGCATCGAGGATTTCAGGACTAACGGCAATGCTAATGAATAATTTATTTATAATGTATATGATTTGTTTTTCAAAGTCCCTCAATAAAAATGCAATATAGTCTGTTAAATATCTTGAATGGAATGTGTGTGCACTTTACCATCAAAAATTTATATCACAAACACAACTAATAAACTTTTCTTTCCTTTCTTTAGATACGGAAAATATTAGGTTTGTGTTTGCAGCTGTTAAGGACACAATTCTGCAATCGAACCTTAAGGAATATAATTTGGTCTAAACTGGATTTGGATCGAAAAACTATTTTTGTGATTTTTATACAAACACACATACACATTCATATAATTCCTTTTTCGCATATTTACTAAATATAAAAGAAGAATTGAGAAGCGAGCGAATGTGGCCGAAAATTAGGCATTAATTAGACCCGAGAAAGTTTCTTACGTTTGTAACATCAGGAACCGAAAATTGTAGCATAAATAGAATACTAAACTGAGATGGTAATGCAGCATCAAGAAGATGATGAAAATGATGTATACATTTTAATTTGAGAGAAAAATAACACAAAATCTGGTACAGGCTGACAACAAATAATCAGGATAAAGTTTCTTCCTTTGCACTACGAATATTTTGAATCGTAGAAAAATAAAATATATTGGAACATTGTTAGTCTTGTTATCGGACAAAGTTTTTTAGAAAACAATTTTGTGTAATGTAACTCTTTCGGCAAGGAAAACTCCTGAAGGTTAAAAAGACAGTAGGCAGAATTGGGATTCAATGAAAAGTAATTCTGTTTAGATTCGAGTAAACCACAAAGTTTTTCGGATTTAAGTCCGAAAGACTGCTGAGTGTGTTACCCTTCCACAAGGAACTGTATTTCCTTCAAAATATACGTCCGAATTATTTGTTGTCACTCTGTAATATTCAAATAAATTTATTACTATAGTAACTTTTGTAATAAAAACCAAAACAAAAAATATGAAACGTAAATTTAATCAAAAGCTTGATAAGAACAACAAACTGAAACAACTTTGTCGTACTGAAGCATAATAAAGCAACATTTTACTAAAATAACTACAGAAAGAAAAAAACAAAATTTTGCGTAAAGAATCCCCCGGAATATATATATTCAAAGAATTATATATGCTAGAAGTTTCTTATTAGAATTTCAGGGCATATAAGGCGTGTAAAAATAAAACACAGAAAATGATAAGCTGATAAAATGAATGAAAACGAAATCACAGATAATACTGTATTTTTTAATAAGCTAAACCGTAAATATTGATACTATTGTTTACCGGAATATTTAACTATACATGCAAACAGATAATATAATAATTCATAAACGCATATGTAACAATTACAAAATTGATTAATTTGTATCGAGGCAGCCCAATTCATTGTAAATTACGACTCGTATTAATACCATGAAAACTAAAAAAAGAAACATGCAATCCAAGGAAAAAGAAAGGAAATGAATCCGTAAGAGAAACGCCATTTACATGGAGCATCCATTTAAATAATAATACGTGTTTGTAAAAATGTCGATAACCACCATGCAACAACAGCAGAATCCATGCAACTTATTGATATTTAATCAGACATCAGGTCAAATCCAATCAAATGCGATATACCACTGGTCGAGAAACATAACTATCAGAAGGGAAAGTTTTGCTCTCACGTACTTTTGTTGCCATCAAAATTTCAGTCGAAACATTGTTATCAAATATAGCTTGATTTTCGTACTTTTTACATTAACTTTGTTAGTTGTTTGCTTATTTTATAGATCTTAATGTATGCAACAATGGACACACTTTGCGGCTATCCAAACGATCGATCCTGCCAAGTGCGTTCAGTGTTTTGTTTTTGTTTTTATAATTTTAGTTTAATTTAATATACAAGGATAACTAAATGAGACGCACATAAATAGAAAAAACCCATCAACAAATTATTTATGTAAAAATCCAAATAAAAACAATTCTACTCTACGCATATGTGGAAACAAAAAAATAATAAAATTAAAAAAAAATGAAACGTACATATATGTAAAATAAATATGAAGCAAAATGTTTTTCATAATTTATTACACTTATTTTGTTCAACCGAGATTCCCTCAACTCATCAGTTGGAGTTTAGTTTAGTCGGGGCCACAGAAGAATCGATACTTTGGCAAGCGTCTTAGCAGAAGACACTACGCCTGGAAGTGGAGAATTGAGAATCCTATAACCGCGCATAACCAAAAAAAAACAAACCAATACGCATCTTAGTTTAAGTACGATTCAACAGTGTGTTGTATAAAGCTTTAATCCTCGTAACCACATCTAGTAAAAATAAAGTAATTAAACCATTTTTATGAGTAACCAATGGATTAGCTTTTAAAAAGCTTCAATAAGTCAATGTGTATTTTAAAACATGTAGCAGAGCCCAGGGAGCCAATGTGTTTCTAGACCCGATTTGAATGGATATGGAAACGGTTTAGGTTCTTGATGCGAATATCAATTCACAGCCCCTTTGGCTTCGCACCCAATTTGGTAGCTCCGAGTTCGGCTTGGCCCGTTTTGTATATCCATGGCATAATAGACATTCACACACTGACATATATATAGTTTTCCGTCCAATGAATTGCATCAGCAGCGAGCAGACAAAGTCTCCCATTTATTTTGATCCTTTTTCCGGTTTGGTTCTTCTGGAAATTCCATCTTAAAATATAATTCTATTTCGGCGGTTTCAATGATAAAAAATTGAGTTTTTGCATCCACGTACACAAACATTTTAAATTAATCGATTTCGGAATTATTTCTTAGCATTTTGTGCCTTTCCACAACCATGAATCACATCAAAAATATTTAGGTCAGGCTCCAGTAGGTACACAAATCACGAGTTTCCACCTGGTTTTTACCCAATTCCTGGAACCTGTGAAAATCCCCACACATTTATATTATCACCATGTGTGTATGGCCAGATTGTTTTGGGTTAAATGATTGGTTCCTTACCTTTATGATACGCACCGAAAGTCAGACAGTTGTATGTAAATATTTGGCAAAATACTCGCGGGGGAAATCGAAAACCTCCCGAGATATACCACATAATCGAGCATATGTATGTAACTATACATTAAACTCAATAAGAAACTATAATAAAATGAGAATTTGATAAAAATCATTAATGTATGTATTTTGTATTTTTATATACAATTTATAATTTTGATTACACTTACAATTGTTACGATTAATAACTAATATTACATGATAAAACCAAAAAAATGCAGAAGAATCTACTAGATATGTATTTCCGATATAGAGAAACCAAGTACATAATACACAAATCCGATGATTGCTAAAGGAATTTCAAAATATTGTAAGGAATTAAGATTAAACAAAGTAAACAAAGAAATTTTCTAAGCAACAAACTCAACCAGAACTGCAAGCAAAAGGGACAACAATTTAAATGGGAAATTTATGTATTTGTGTAAATCTAGAGTGGAAGGAAGGATAAATAAGATCCTTTGAGGGCCTGATACTCGATAAGTAGGGCCACGATTTTCAGATTATTGAGAATCATTTAGGAGTGGCATTCGGTGGCTAGTTTTTACTTTAACTATGTATGTAAATGAAAGAATGACCACATTCCACATAAGAAAGCTTGAAAAGCAAAAAACTATTGAACAAGAATCCCAAATGAAAAACTCCCTAAACGTTGAACACAAAACTACATTCTCGGTAATAAGAATGGCTAGCCGAATGTTTCGGTTAAAAAACCCTATAAACTCAGCATCCGGAAAGCTGTAAGAAATATTAGTTGTGAGTTCGGCATGTGGCATTTGATCGGGCGATATTAGGGAGAAATATTCGAGTCGCGTTTCTCCATTGCACATCTAAGCATATTGATACAAAGGCGTAAACCAGAAGCTAATGGAACATCCACTGGAACTGCACACAGACCCCCAAAGCGGAGACAGTCCAACATGTCCATGGGCCGACTATTGATAACTGTAGCATTTGAATTGATTGATATTGGACGGACGGGGTTTTCCTGGGTGTCTATACATTTGTCATACAAATCACATTGAAAACGGATTGTGTGCGTGGCAATTGTAACTAAACAAATTTTTTAGATAATTAAAAGTATCTATGTACACCTTAATATTAATGAAAAAACCAATATAATATAAATAAAAGTATATTGAAAAGAACTCTCCCTCTATTATTTTGGAAAATGTATTTTGTATGAGGGGGTCGTTACGATTTTTATATTCTTTTGCGACAAAATTTTCCCAAAAGTCTTTATATTGCAGCTAGTACATATTTCTGAACGAGCGGTACGAGATTGGACAAATATATCTTATGGCTCCCATAGGAATAATCAAAATAATATTATAACTTTGTTCGTTTTGATTTTTGACACTTAAACTTCGGCTTCCTTCCGCTTCGTAACTTTCTTTCTTGTTACGATATGTTGCCGGAAATGCCTCCCTATTTATTGATCATGGATTGGTGCTCCGTGGGAATTTGAGTTGAATTCCTGGTATTCACCCGGGTAACTGTGTGGCTACGCCATAAGCACACTCGTGAGAAATTAAAACCAAAAAGAACATTACACTGTAGATATCACTAATAATTTTAACAGCAACGAAAGATTGTGGGTGTAGCATGTGGGGCACACGCTTAATCCGTCTATTGTTTCGTCGGTAAAGGTGAATAAGGGTGCAACACTGATTAAAATATTCACTTGCTGGTAAAAAAAAACCTAAAAAAGGGCCAAGGATGTCTAATATTTTGGCCGATTTAATTTGGGTAGATCACTGGAGAAAATTTGTTCTGGAGAGAATGATCCTACACGGTCAAGGTCCAAAACGGAAAGGCCGAATGATCGCTATGCGCCAGTCAACAAGGCTTGCTTATCGTACATTTTTAGGACCACGACGCGTCTTTTCTGTGTTGTTAAGACGGATTTTTTGTAGGATTTTGTTCTGTCATTCAAATTGTGGCCGAAATTTTAAATTGTGGTACAAATTTTGAGAATGGGGAAAATTTCTGCGACAAGTTCCCTATTGAGCCGTATGTATACTTATACTTTTCAAGGAATTCAATATACCCTTTTAATCAACCGATAAGGGTATAATTATGAGTGCTCTTGCTTGGAGAATGGCTCTCTTAAAAACTTTATAAAGTAGTCCCCTCTCTTAGTAATTAGGAAATGGAATAAACTCATCTGAGCTCTACAAAAGCAGCCGGCCAGTTTTCGGTAACTCTCAGCAGCGTGCGGATGTGTTTTTGGGCACGCGATTGGGAAAGGCTCCTACCATTAAGTACTATAAAGTTACAAAACATGTAATAGATATTATTCCATTTAAACTAATCTGTAAAGTTTTAAAAATTAATCAAGGTACTCTATATGACATAAAAGTGGTTTTGAAGTACTTTTTACGCTCATTTCAAAGTCTCTTTAAATTATAATTCAAATTTGTTTCATGGCAGATGGTGGTTTGAGATATGAAACCTCGTATGTGTATGGAATATACAATGGATTTCGTCCCGCGTTGGGAAATCAGTTGATTATAGCAAATACAATTTGTATAATAATTTTGAGCAAAGAATTTTAACGCTTACAAAAAACATATCACTTGTGGATTAGACATCTGCATGAATAACAAAAAATACATATTCGAATTGACAATGTTCAAAATGAGTTGAATGAGTTGGAATGTGTAGGGAAACTGGCTTGAATAAATAAGTGTACTGACGTAAAACTCAGTCGAACCAGAAATGGTGATGGAAAACGAATCGAGTAAATGAGTACACGAACAACTCAGACGAATTTATTCGAATCCATTCGAGTTCTTACATGACGTCATAAGGGCAAAATGGAAAATTAAATTTGTTTTGAAATACTTACATAAATATTTGGTTTTTTGTCTTTTTTAAATTACAAATCTACCTTTAGTTTTAGCTCGCCACTGAATCCAACCATGCCATTTTCATATTTAAATCCTAAGAATTCGCGGACCAAGGAGGAGAAGTATAAAATAGTGTAGTGAAGAGGCAGAAAGGAATGGTCTTCCTTCTACCGCAAATCCTAAGAATTCGCGGACCAAGGAGGAGAAGTACAAAATAGTGTAGTGAAGAGGCAGAATGGAATGGTCTTCCTTGGACCGCAACTTCTTAAGAATTTATCTAACAAACTCCAGGATGACAATACTAAGAAGTCGCGGTCCAAGGAAGACCATTCCTTTCTTTATCTGTGGCGATAGAGGCGGATCTTTTAGTTCTGGGATATGTTCATAAAACTAATTGCTTTTCCATATTTTTTTTTTTCTCGTGGATTTTTGCATGTGTTTTGAGTTTAAACTAAGGGGAGCTTGGTAATTTCGAAAATAAGAAATCACTAAGAAATACTTATTTATAGACATACATATATGTATATCAAAACAAATTTAATTTTCTATTTTGCCCTTATGACGTCATATAAGAAAATCGAATGGATTCGAATAACTCGTATGATTTCAGCATATTCAAATATGACTTTCTGTTTTTCGTTATCACTCGTTTAACTCTAGGCCTTTTCTGTCATACTCTATACGGACCAAGATGCAATCCATTCTAGTCATAGTGTGCTGAGCATTTACTCAACTCTATTCTATTCGAATGGAATCGTTTCAAAGCCTGTTTGATTCCAGTCATGCAGATGTCTATTGTGGATCTCAACTCGTAAAGGTTTGCCTACTGTTCAACTATTCTGAAATAAATATTTGACTCTTTGCATATTTTCTTAGATCAGTATAAATTTCAAGTATAGTATAAATTTCAAGTAAGTTAGTATGGAGTGCTGTACATCGAGGGAGACACGGGAAAAAAAACGCATCAATGAGGAAATCGACAAGCAATTGCGCCTGGATCAGAAAAGGGCGTTTCGCGAGCTCAAACTGTTGCTGCTGGGTAAGAGGAACCAGACTTAGCTAGGCCCAATGGTTTTAAAATTTGGAATCCTGTAATCCTTTCCAGGCACGGGCGAGTCCGGAAAGTCAACATTCATAAAGCAGATGCGAATTATCCACGGAAATGGGTACTCGGCCGAGGACAGGCGTGAATATATTACGTTGATTTTCCAGAACATATTCATGGCCATGCAGTCAATGATCAAGGCAATGGACAAGCTGAAGATTTTCTATGGTCAGGAAGAGCATAGCGTAAGTGAACCATTGTCTTAATCCTAATATGCTCAATTAAAATCAATTTCATATGATCCACAGGAACTGGCTGCTCTGGTAATGACCATAGATTATGAGACCGTAACCACCTTAGAAGATCCTTACTTAAATGCGATAAAAACGCTTTGGGACGATGCTGGCATCCAGGAGTGCTATCGTCGTCGCAGAGAGTACCAGCTGACCGATTCGGCCAAATAGTGAGTTATCCTAAGATTCAAACTGAAACACTTTTAAATTGGTATAGTTAATAAATTAATATATCTGAGGTTCGAACTGAAAAAAAGATATGTTGCAAAATGTAGCCCTAAATAATTCTATGTTAATAATTTTGGTGCTGTATTTAGCTACTTGAGCGACTTAGCTCGAATTGAACAGTCTGATTACTTGCCAACTGAGCAGGATATTCTTCGAGTTCGAGAGGCGACTATTAATATTCACGTATATCCCTTCGAATTGGATGGGTTTGTGTTAAGGTAAATCGTCAGCATAAAAACCCATAAAATTTGTATTAATTAATAATAGATATAAATTGTCTTCACAATTAGTATGGTGGATGTGGCGGGCCAGCGAACCGAAAGAAGAAAGTGGATTCATTTCTTTTCGAATGTAACTTCAATTATATTTCTGGCAGCGCTATCGGAGTACGATCAAGTCTTGATGGAATCTGAAAACGATGTAAGGTCAAAAGTCTTTGGTTTCTGAAAAGTAATTAACGATTTATTTGCAGAATCGAATGTTGGAGTCTAAAGCTTTATTTGGAACTATTATAACATTCGAATGGTTTCAAAGAGCGTCTATTATTCTTTTTCTGAACAAAATGGACGTTTTGGAGGAGAAAATAATGAGTTCGCATTTGGTGGACTATTTTCCTGAATACGACGGCAAGTGTACCGAACTGTACCGATTTCTAAAAACGCACGCAAGTTTCATTATTTTATTCGATTTTCTATCAAAACAGGCCCTCAGCAAGATGCAACAGCGGCCCAAGAGTACATACTGCAAATGTTTGAAGATGAAAATCCAAATCCTGATAAAAAAATATACGCTCATTTTACATGTGCCACAGGTAAGTTTGATAAAATTGTAATTATAGCTTTTATAAGATAATCTTACCATACCTACCCTGTTTAAAAGTGCCTTACAATACCTAATAATTATGTTTTTTTCCTTCTTTAGATACCGAAAATATTAGGTTTGTGTTTGCAGCAGTAAAGGACACAATTCTGCAATGCCACCTTAAGGAAAATAATTTGCTCTGAACTTGAATTTTGACTGCGATTTTAACAGAAGAAGATCATAAATAAAAAATGTACCAAAAATATTTAAAATGGCACGAAGGTTTTTAAAATCTTAGGTCCATCAAATCATAATTTTTCAAGTTGCATCAATTTGTCTTATTTTGTCTTAATAAATATAGGTAATTAAAATATTGTTTGCGTTAACAAGATGGATGGTTCCTTTTCCTACCAATTGTAACTAATTAAGTTTTAAAATACATTGTTCAAATAAATAAAAATAAACTAAAAGGCATATTTTAAAATTCCTTTTTTATTAAATAGTGTGTTCTGTAACTTTTAAATGAGGGTATTTTCCAGGGAACGAAAATAACTGTTATTGTAAATTTTTCATACAAAAAAATCACGCACTTAGAAGGGTCCTAAAAATTTTTTAAATACGCCACAACTTTTATTAGCCATTGTAGTTTACAAATCCGTAATGATTTTTATTTTTTTGATTTTTATAATAAAACTCAAAAAATAACTGTTATTTTTGATTTTTATGAATAACAGTTATTCCTTTGACATTTTTGAAAAAATGAAATAATTAAAAAACATGATACCCGTGCTTTTTATAACTTACTAAAAATTTGTTAAAAAAGGCAACCTCGCATATTTTATACCTATATTTTTTTAAAATTTTGTTTACCCACAAAATCGCCATAAATCAAGTTTGAGTTTTATTTTTGATCACGACGAATAACTGTTATTTGTCAACTTTTATTATAAAACTCAAAAAATAACAGTTATTCTTTGAGTTTTACTTAACAAATCAGAAAATAACTGTTAAAGTGTGATTTTAAAATAAAACTTATAACAGTTACGTTCCCTGGTATTTTCCAATTATAAAATAAGAATTTTTTTTTCCATTTTATAGTTTGGTTAAGTTTAGGTGTCAAATAAACTGAAAACTTAAACTTAAAATATATTTCTTAAAAAAAATAAATATTGTTTTTAAGGGAGATCCAAAGGAACTTAATATAAGCCCTGTATCGTTTTTCTTTCTTTTTCTTTGGAACCACCGAGTTTATGGTTATTGTAACTGTTTTGCCTTAGTTAAAAAGCTACATAAAGAAACTAACGGGCGAATTGGATATTGAATTCTGGTAGTGGCTGAGCACTGGCTGAGGGTATCGGGTTTCTAATCTTTAAAAAAACCCCGACCATTCCCCCGAGTGTGGACTCTGTGGAATTGCTTAACAAGGGAACTCGTGGCTTTATCAAGAGAACAATGCTCAAGCGTTGTAGGCTCTCTTAAAAAAGGGATGTGATAACACCATTTAGAATTAATAGAAAATAAAACCCAACTGTCGCTCAGTTTCCGGGAGTTCTCGGCAGCGAGCAAACATATTATTAAACGCGCGCTTACTCTATTTAATGAAAAAAAAAGGTGATAATATATAAAATCCCCTAAAATTAATATTGAAATCGCACAAAGCAGACTTCAAATAATTTTGTTTAATAATAATGTGTACATTTTAATGTGAAACAAAAGAGGACAAAAATATTGTGTATAACGATCACTTTTGACAATTTCTATTGATTGACTCACTTCTTACATTTTATACACATTTATCAAACATGGACAACATGTCGAAATATATATCTTGCAAGCTACTAGACTGCTGTGAATCAAATGAGATTAGGGAACAGAAACTTATGAACAAGTTAATCGATCTCGAGATACGCAAAGAAAAGAAAAGGACGAAATGCGAGGTTAAACTCTTGCTTTTGGGTAAGTGGAATAAGAAACATTTCATTTGTGCTTAACAGACTAAAATTATTGTTTTTTTTTTTCAATATAATATACAAAGGGACGGGAGAGTCCGGAAAGTCAACATTTATCAAACAGATGCGTATTATCCATGACAATGGCTTCTCGGAGACAGAAAAACTTAAATACATCAAACTGGTTTTCCAGAACGTATTTATGGCCATGCAGTCAATCATTAAGGCCATGAACCACCTGCAGATTTCCTATGGTCAGAAGGAGCATATCGTAAGTAAATCATTGGCTTAGCTTGTACCTTTTTGCTCAATCAGAAGAAATTAATATAATCCACAGGAACTGGCTGATCTGGTGATGAGCATCGATTACGAGAAAGTCTCCACCTTGGAGGATCCTTACTTGAAAGCCATCAAAACGCTTTGGGACGATGCTGGCATCCAGGAGTGTTACGGTCGTCGTAGGGAATACCAGCTTACTGATTCCGCCAAATAGTGAGTTTTCCGCTTAAAATCAAATAATATTTGTAAGGAAACAAGAAAGTACTCCTTACAACTATTTTCAACTTTTATTTCGTTCTTATTAAAATGATTTATTTTATGTTATTTAGCTTTTTGAGCAGCTTGGCTCGAATTGAAAAGGAGGAGTACTTGCCAACCGATCAGGATATCCTTCGTGTTCGAGTGGCGACAACTGATATTCATGAGTATCCATTTAATTTAAATGGCCTTCACTTAAGGTATTTTTCAAAAATTAGAGGTATACATTTTTTCGTCTTCATATTTTAATGGTTACAATCCGGCCCGTAAAACAGTATTTTGTACGGGAGTGTAGGGTAAGGTGACGAACGATTCGTTTTTTGAATGTAACTTTTCTAAAAATCAATAATTTTCAAAAGTGTAAACGCAGAAAGTTGCTTACATCTACTGAGCATATCCCTGTAAAATTCGGATTCGAAATTCCAATGCAGCCAAGTGCCACAGCGTTTGGCGTGAACCCTTCTTTTTGCACTTTCAAAAGTTGTAGGGTAATGTGACGAACGATTTGTTCTTTAATGTAACTTCTCCAAAAATCAATATTTTTTAAAAGTGTAAAAGCAGAAAGTTACTTACATTTACTGAGCATATTTCTGAAAAATTTGTATTCGAAATTTCAACGTAGCCAAATCCCACAGCGTTTGGTGTAAATCATCCTTTTCACAAACAAAAAAAAATTTTTTTATATATAATTTACGGAAAAGTTATTTTCGATACGGAAAAGAAAGAAGTAATAAGAAAATACCGAAACTTACAAAAAAAAAAAAATGGTCAAAGTGCAATTTTTTAAATTAAAAAAATTTTTTTTGTTTAATTAAATTAAACTGACCTCACTATTAAAAACAACAATAAAACTGCAGCAGTAAATGTTATCTGGTATTATTATATTTTTTTTACAAATAATTAACGATAACAAATAAAGTTTTTGAATAAAAAAAGTTCGTCACAATACCCTACAAAAAGTTCGTCACGATACCCTACATGGTAGATTTGGAGCAAAAACGGTGTCACTCTCAAACGGCGCAAAAGAAAAAAACGCGAGGTACCAAAAACTGTTGATAAAGATCTCATGTATACGTGCATATATTTGCCTGATTTTATTTTTCACTCATCTTTGCTCTGGTACTGCTGAAACACAAGTAAATTGAATAGGTTTGCGCACCACATTTTTAGCGAAAATTACCTCACGAACAAATTACGGGACTTCTTATTAATATTACTGTAAATACATTGTCGACACGATAAGGGGAGATGACTACATTTATTTGGAATTTTTGTCGTGACGTCATATATAAGATTCGACGACTTCGTCACATACCCTACTCGTCAAATTACCCTACACTCCCCTAATTATTGTAATTGCCAATATTATTTTTTCATTATTGGTATTTGATTTTCAGTCAAAAGTTTAAAGTGAAGGAAAAATAAATTTGTAATATATTTAAATACAATATAAATAAACTAAATAAAAATGTTCTTAGTCAGCATGTCCGTCCATTTGTTTCTAGAAAACGGCATGAAACATTCCAAAATATTTTTTTCTATCGCAGTATATTCATAAGTAAGCGGCTAGTTCCGCATTGTTTCAGCTGTAAGCGTATTTAGGCTTTGACTTACCGAAGCTAACTTTCCTATTACTAATAATATATTTTTCAATATTGAATAGTATGGTGGATGTCGCAGGTCAGCGATCTGAGAGAAGGAAGTGGATTCACTGTTTTTCGAATGTGACAGCAATTATATTTTTGGCAGCGCTATCGGAATACGATCAAGTCTTGTTTGAATCTGAAAATGACGTATGGTTAAATATCAAATTTAAGATTCTCCAAAGTCAATAATAAAATAATTTACTTGCAGAATCGAATGGAAGAATCCAAATGTTTATTTAAGACCATAATTCACTTTGATTGGTTTCAAGATAAGTCTGTTATTCTTTTCTTAAACAAAAATGACTTGTTGGAGGAGAAAATAGAGCATTCACATTTGGTAGACTATTTTCCTGATTACGATGGTAAGTGTTTTGATTGACTTAATCTATGTGTTTTCGGTGGCCACTCCATTTGTAACATTTAATTTGTCTTATTATCACAGGTCCCAAAAGAGATGCTATTGCGGCCCGTGAATTCATACTTAGAATGTATGATGACTTAACGAAAAGACCTAAGAAACCTGATATAACAATTTATCCACATTTTACCGTTGCCACAAGTAAGTAATATATAATTCGCATAATTACCAGACAAACTATTTAACTCTGATTTTCGTTTTCAAGATACGGAAAATATTCGGTTTGTATTTGCAGCCGTAAAGGACACAATTCAGGAATCGTACATGAAGGAGTTTAACATGGAATAAACTAGATGGATTTTAGCACATTTTTATTGTGTTTTTGATTTTGTAATCACTGATGTTTTGTATTCAAGCTAGGAATAGCTAAGCCTTCCAAATCAGGGATTTTTTAGCCGCTTTAGCTTATGTTATTTTGTTGAAGAACTATGTTTCTATACCTTTTAAGGAGCTATCGAAAATGGACAAATAGCTTAATTTTAAAATAAGTTTGTAAGACCTATTAAGGTTTTTATCCATAAGTTATAAATGTAATATAAATTAAAACTTATATTTCAGAGTTATGACGCGCTGATTATTACTAATAGAACAAAAAACGCTGTGGTCGAGTGCTGTAGGAGAATTATTCATCTAAATGAAGAGCAAGCGCGCTGAAAAAATGCAAAGCAAAGCGACTTTTCGATCGCGATTCCATGTTTTTTACTAATATTTATGTTAACGTTTATTTTTATTCTAATATACAATACTAGTTTCTTCACTTCTAGATTGAATTAAAATGTGAATGTGTCATTCCTCTGTTTAATTAAAGCAAATAAAATAAGAGAGTAAACAAGTCGAATGCCCCGACTATTAGATACCCGTTACTCAACCATCTTTAAAACAAGAATTAACGTAGGGTTTTTTTTTTTTTTTTTCTTTTTTTTTTTTTTTTAAATTTTCTTTTTTTATTTTTTTTTTTTTTTTTTTTTTTTTGTGAAAAAAGGTTTTTAAAAAAATTTTTTTAATTAAATTTAATTTAAAAACCTAAACCCACAACGATCAATTTTTTAAAATTTTAAAATTTGTACTATATTACTTTGGAAAAAAAAATGTTTGACAATCATGGCTGATTTTTAATTTTTATACATGTATGAATGTAGTATTCTCCTCCCGCACACTCAATGTGAGATTCGTCACTAAATGAGCAGCCCTCCGAAGTGATAAATAAGGCAGATTAACGCTAAGAAAACTGTAGAAAGCAAACTGTCGCTTAGTTTTCGGAAATTCTTTAGATCGTTCAGGCGTAAATAGCTCGGCTTGTGGCGATAGACTCGAATTTTAAAAAATTTTTTTAATCAAGTAATAAAAAAACACAACCCAAAAAAAAGAAACCCCTTTTACAACCAAATCTTACACTCGGAAGTCAACTAATTTGGTGAAAACTTAATACATTTTAATGTAAAAATAATAATTTAAAAAAAATCGTAAAGTGAGTCATTTTTATTATTTCGTTTAAAATGAACATATGTGAATCATTACGGGATGTAAAAAAACTCCAATTGGTATATCGATGTCATATCGATATTTAAACAAAATGATGTTTTATTCATTTGTGATTCTATATATTAAAATTAAATTTAGAAACAAAATGTTATAAATTATAACATTTGCAAATCGCGGAAAGTCGGAGGTTCACTTCCTAGCGAGTGCAAGTGTGTTGAAATGCTAACAAACAGTTGAGTTAATGATACCAATTTTGACCTTGAGTCCCCCAAAAATTCTCACATAACCCGTAATATTTTCGACAAAAGTTCGGGACGACCTTGTATTTTTGTACGGAAGAATTTCAAAAGTCTGGTTCGTCCGATTTATAAACGCTCACTTATACAAAAGTGAAATGTCAAGCGACAACCAGTACTTGCTGTTTTTATAATAATCTAATGATCCACATGTGCAGGCCTATCTTAAATTAAAGAGTAACCTTTTTCTATGTTCTTGGATTGTAAATCTAGTAAGCATGGACTGCTGTTTGTCGGATCTAGCCAGGGAGGAGAGGCAGATCAGTAGGGAAATCGATAAGAAAATACGCCAGGACAAGAAAAACGCGCGCCGTGAGCTTAAACTGTTGGTCCTGGGTAAGTGGAGAAGGAATATGTTGATTACGGCTACATATTTTCCAATATTCCAATATTCCCAGGCACAGGAGAGTCCGGCAAATCAACATTCATCAAACAGATGCGTATTATCCATGGAAATAAGTACACCGATGGGGAGAGGCGTGGATACATCAAGCTGGTTTTTCAGAACATATTCATGGCCATGCAGTCAATGATTGAGGCAATGGATAAGCTGAAGATTTTCTATGATCAGGATGAGCACGAGGTAAGTGAGTCTTTGGGTACACAAATCGAAGATATTCACCAACAATTAAAATTGTCTACAGGAGCTGGCCGATCTGGTGAAGAGCTTAGATTACATGAAGGTTACCAAGTTCGAGGATCCATACGTGAACGCCATTAAAACCCTTTGGAAGGATGCTGGCATCCAGGAGAGCTATAATCGTCGTAGGGAATATCAGCTGACTGATTCAGCCGAATAGTAAGTTATGAATTAATTTTCTTTCTAAAAATCACTCAAAAATAAAACTAATTAACAATAAATCTAAAAAACTACTTAATTTCAAAATAAAAATTTAGTTTCTTGAGTGACATAGATCGAATTGAAAAGGCTGATTACCTGCCGACGAATCAGGATATTCTTCGTGTTCGTGTGCCGACATTAAATATTCTTGAGTATCCATTTGCTTTGGATGGCTATGTGATAAGGTATTTATGAAAAAAAATTTAATTGTTATAGTTGCTAATAATATTTTTGGCTTACCTTTGGAACATAGGATATTTATTTCTTATTTAAAAAGTTTATTATGATGAAAATAAGTTTATTTTTGTAATCAACAGAATGGTGGACGTTGCAGGCCAACGAAACATGAGAAGAAAATGGATTCACTGTTTTTCGAATGTGACTTCAATTATGTTTTTGGCAGCGCTATCGGAATTCGATCTCTCATTGGCTGAATGTCAAAATGATGTATGTTACAAGTATTTTAGCCTTATGCCAATTCTACCGGTAATTCCACTGCACAATGTACTTTATTAGTGTCCAACCACAGAGATGATCTGTCCAAAACTGTCGGTATATAAACCAGAAAACAACTAAAAAACTGTCAAACTTAACCACAAAATGCAAATATTTTTTTTCAAAAATCTCTGTATCGACACGGTTTTAGAAAACTGTGCTAGTGGAATCCGACTATTACATTCAAAAGTTTACCTACAAAATATTAAAATGTATTATTTACAGAATCGAATGAAAGAATCTATTGCCTTGTTTCGTACTATTGTATCATTCCCATGGTTTCAAAATGCGTCAATGATTCTTTTTCTGAACAAACAAGATTTGTTTGAGACTAAAATTAGGACAACGCATTTGGTAGACTATTTTCCAGAATATGATGGTAGGTGCTACGGAGAGCATATTTATTCTGTAAGCCTAAACAATTTTTTTTTGTCTTCTAATCAAACAGGTCCAAAACAAGATTCACAAGCGGCTCAAGGTTTCATACTGCGAATGTTTTTAAAAGTAAATCCTGATCCTGATAAAAAGGTGTATCCACATTTTACAGTAGCTACAAGTAAGTGGAATAATTTAATAAATTATAATTTAGAATAGAGTTCTTCATTGCTTTGGCTCGAAAAAGGTTTTGATTAAGTGATTGTAGTTTATTTTATGTGGCTCCGGCATGATGCTAAACAAGACTATCAAATTGGTAAATTGTTAAAAAGATACCAACATATAACATCCAACTTGTTTGTTTTGTAAAACATACAGTTGCAAAGTGCAGTTGATACGATCGGATTTTCCCTCAATAACAATTTTAATATCTTGAGTTAAATTTATGCACATTTAAATTTCTTCAATGTGCTTACAAAATTAGCTAATTAAGTATTCTCTTCGTTTTTTTTAGGTACGGAAAATATTACGCTTGTGTTTACAGCTGTTAAAGATACAATAATGGAATGGCATTTCAGGGATACTAATTTGGTGTGACCTAGATTTCGTTCAGCCCATTTTCCTTTAAAAATAATCTAGAAGACGAAGATCATATCCCTTTGAACTGTAACTAAACAAACTTGTTTAATAAAAAACAATTTTTAAATACCCCCTAATATTAATAAGCCGTTATTAATATATTAAGCATGTACGGATTTACAAAACTTTATTATTCCAAACTTATGGTTACATACACAATCGATTAAATTTAACACGTTTCACAAACTTTTCTTAATTTGTCTTAGGCTCAAAAACTTTAAATCGCGCTGCCCTCAGACGGTGATTCAGTACAAATAAACTATCACAATGAAATCATATTTCTGTCATGCTCTGCATTGGCCGTAAAACCTAATAATGGCGAACAAGCAAACTAAACATCACATTGATCAACAGTTAAAAACGAAATTCTTACACACTTAATTGCTAAATATATTCTTGGATGGGGGGGGTTCTATCAAATCGTTTTGGCACTTGGGCGTGTTCATATGACCACGAAGTCACTGAGGTTGCGTTCCGGTTGGACCATGCTTGGTGGCATTAGCTGCACCAGTTTGTTGAACAGGAAAGCTCGTTTGTTCTTCAGTTCGGCAGAGCACTCCGTGCGCGCTCTTTTCGTGCATGACGAGGAGCTGGGACTGGAGGCGGTCTCCGAGATGCCGGAGGAGATCAGACTTTCGTTCGATTCCATTGAAATATTCTCGGTGGCGGGGCCATCAGCCACCTCATCTGCACAATAAAAACTCAGTCACCTTGCCTCAAAAACCTTTTGACTAACGATACCTTTAATTTTGGCCGATACGTCAGGATCCGTTTCGAGATCTTCAGCATCAGCACACAGCGCTGGAGTCGTACACTCTCTTTCCAGGCTGTCGTGGTTTTTAAAGAGCAACGAAGCCAGTTTGTGAAACTTAAAAGAAAGAAAAAGGATATTACAAATTTAAACACTCTTGGTACTGTACAGCATACATTATTCAACTGCTCCGCATCGCTATGATCAATCACAGCGGCTATATGATGCCGTAAATACTGCATTGCCTTAAAGGGATCCTGGCGCGTCATCTCCTCGTATCGCAGTTTTCGCACCAAAAACCTACAGTGCTTCAGGATCTCGTCTCGTTTTGGTCTATTAAAAAAAACAGTTAAAATGTGCTACTTTCAGCAATTGTTATATACTTACTTTTCCAAGCGCAGCAGCCAGAAATCATCAAGTCTCAGTTGCTGCTGCTGACAAATTCCAGGATTTCCTCCAAACAAATAGTGCGTATTAGCCAAGTCGTCGTACACTAACTGGTGGGCATAGCGAGGACAGGGCTCCAAGGATCCATCTCCCTTGCTGGCTCCCAAGATGTTCATTCTGTTGATGGAGCTGGCATTCTGGCCACTGTGGCGACAGTAATATATCCTCGACCACTTGTGACTGCGCAGGGAATAGACCCAAAAGGAGTTCGATGCATCAATATGCTGTATATCACGGCGATCCTTAACCTTACTCAGGCTCTAAAAATACGTGAATCAATAAAGGAATCTGTTACTGTCTTATGTGCTTACAGAAAATATATAAATCTCATCACGTTCGCAGTCGATAGTAGCACGCAATGTGTAGCCTGAAGAGGGTTCAAATTTGGCTTCGTTGCCGGCGGTGGTTCCATGATGCGGGTGCTCCTTGTTAAGCACGGATATGGCCTGGGTGTCTACGTCGTAGCTGAGGAACTCGTCCAGATCCTCCTTGCCTCGTTGCCCGCCATAAATGTAGAGTTTTCGATGTTTCTAGTGCAGGAAAATATTATAAATTCGCAGTTTTTAAAGTAAATTAAACCTACATTATGAAAAACCATGCAGTGAGTGATTCTGGACTTAATGGACATCACATCTGCCAGGGATGCGCTGGCGTGGTGGCAGTCCACCAGTATCTGCGCCCAGGTGTTTGTAGCTATGTGGTAGGAAAACAGCCCCGAATATTCTGGCTCTATCGCTCCCGTGGCATTGACACTGCGAGGCGTGAGTATTTTGCCTCCGAAGACGTAAATGGTCCGCTTATCGGCATCCATGCACATCTGGTGATCGTAGACAAGCTGTGGACCACCCACTTGGCTGGTATCGTCGCAGATCTGCATCCAGTTGCCGGCTCTCGTGTCATACAGGTAAAAGTCGCTCTTTATATAATCCGAGGTGCGAATCGAGTTGTCGAGGTAACGACCAAGCATGAATACATTTTCGCTGATGGGATCAAAGACCATTTTGTGGCAGGATCGCGGTGTGGGTCCATTGGAGAGCTCTGACCGCTCGCACAGCAGCGACCACTGATCATCGTCGATGTTGAAAACCCAAAGGTCGCTCAGATCCTGGTAGCCATCCCAGCCGCCATATAGATATATTAGTCTCTTTTTGGCATCGACCACCAGCTGATGACCTCCGCGGTTGCCTGAAAAGGCCAAAGTAAAGCTGAGTTTAGATATACATAAGTGGAAAGAATTACTAACCAGGCTTCATGTCGCTCTCTGTGTCCTTCAGGTGCCAGCTGTGCTTATAGTCCTGCTTGTGCAAATACTCATCCATCAGACCCTCGTCTATGCACTCGACTATGAAGCGCTCAGCCTTCTCAAAGTCTCCCTGCAAAACCTATAAAGCATGGATATCCTTAAATATAGATAATTCTATTGGTTATGATCCTGCCTACCAGGCACTTGTGGAGTTCGCTGATCAGCGGGTGCTCCAGTTGCACATTCGTCTGCTCCTGGAGCGCCCCGAAGGCAGTCATGTAGCCCTGCTGGCGGAAGTGCTTGAGGCACAGCTTGATGATCTCAACCTCGCGCAGCGCGTTGTAGTTCTTCATGCGGGCACTGGTGTACATGGGGTCGTCCTGGCCGTGCAGCTCGACGTACCAGATGCTGAAGTTGAACGACGGACCCCAGGAGAGCAGGGGCACGATCTTGAGGTACAGTATTGGCAGGTTCTCCGAACCGTCTTCGGTGAGGCAGCGCAGGTTGAATACTTCCGGAACGTTGTCGTTTTTCAGGCCACTAATGCGGGGGATACTAATGCTTTAAAAGGACAATAAGGGTTCCGGATAACCTACCCTTCGAGCAGCAGGACCATGTGCTCATCCTCCAAGCCCCCGTAAACGCGGAACTTCTTGATGTTGCACACATGCGACTTCTCGAACTTGCCAAACTTGATTTTCTTCACAATGGCGGGACGGCGCAGCTTCAAGGTGAGAAATTGCGGAGGGCTGTTCGTGTAGGCTGACCACCTGGAAGTTTGATCGTTGGGACAGTCCACCAGGACGTTTCTGCGAGTGGAAGAGAGTGGAATTTAGAAAGATGCGCATTTCACAATTACGAAATCCGGGGCATCCATTTTCTTTTTTTTTCCTTTTGACTAGAACTTACTCGGGCAGATAGTTCGGTGAATAGCTGGAGTAACGGTAGATCTCAAAGTTTAGCCGCTCTGAGAGGGAAAATGGCTTCTGGCTACTGGTATTCGTTGCGGAGACCGGGTTTAATGAGGGATTCAGGGCCGAGGACAGCGCCACCGATCCGTGCGAGCTGTTGTCCGTGGGACTGGACGTCGAGGAGGAGGACATGGCGGATGAGTGTGTGGGGTTTGTGTTCCAACGGGTTCCTTGCGGCTAAAGTGTAACGGAGCTTGCTAGTCGCTGTTGTTACTTTTGTTTCCTGTCCGCTTTTCGGTGCTCGCCTGTTCCACACCCACAACAACCGCGTAACAGCTGATTGCCAGGGGCGTACGCGTGAGTTCATCGTGGGGTTGAAACTAGTGGGACTTAACCCTAGATGGATTTACCTAGTTAATTTTAGCACATTTAACTTACTTTTAAAAATAAATAATTAAAAAATTTACAATATATACGAAAATTTATAATTTAATAAAATATATTACAAAATCTATGTATTAATTACATTATTAATTTTTTTAAAGTTCCTTTAACTTTTTGTTCTTGAAAAGGGGTTTAACTGACCCCTGTGACCCCTTCGATATCCGCCCATGGTTGGCTATCGGTTATTGGGTTATCGCTTTCAAACTTGGTCACTCGTGAAATTAGGGCTTTTAATAAAATGAAGTTATTAAAATGTAGTTAGTGTTTGTTTTGGGTCGTTTTTGGTAGAGTCATTTTTATTTACGCCGAAGATGGCAAGGTGGATTGTTGGGACGCATACAAATTTCGCCCTTTTAATATGCCTGGCGAACACAATTGTACGTTTTTAAACGTGAAAAACCCGAAAAAGTTCAGATCTAACTATTCGTTTATAGTCCTTTTGCAGCGGATACTCTTACAAAATTAGGAAGAGTGAATGCATAGCTAATAAGGCTTATTTTAGCAATGTCTCGTGTATTTTGAAGCCATTAAACTGGACTCGGTCGGTGATGAACATGGATGGCGACATTATAGACGTTTTAACTGATATTAAAGTAAGTAGATGCATAGATTTTTTCTGTTAATAACTTTGGAGATTTCTAGATGACGGTAGAAGTCTTCTATAAGGACTCTTCAAATCTTTATAAACCCTTTGCAGTCAAATTTAGCTTTGATATTTGCCAACTTTTAAAGAATAAAGCACAAAGAAATTTTTTGGAAAAATACGCTTTGAACCATTTGGAGGCCTGGACTAATGTAAACCACAGTTGTCCTTATATGGTACGTTTTAATAGTTGAAATTATCAATATCAAAATAAGAAATATTTTATATTTAAAGGGTCATTTGTTTGCACGCGACTTCCATTTGGATGAGATGTCTTTGCCTGCTCTTCCTCTTCAGGACTACAAAATTGCCTTTAATTTTTCAGGAGCGAAGCCATGGAAGCACTTGGGAGTAGTTCTTATCTACTTCGAAGTGCTCGAGGATTATTACAAGAACAAAAGGAATAAGCCACGTCCAAAATTTATTGATTGATTTTGTTAGAAATCTATTCTATAACTTTAAATTTGTTGTTAGATTTTTAGTAAGATTTCGTCTAAGTATCTTTAGATATTTAAAATAATTTTTGAATGCATTATGATATTAGCGGGGGAAATGACTAGATGTTAAAAATCTGTTCACAATCTATGCTCAGTTTAGATCGAAATTCAGTTTTTTATTGAAATTTATAACCATCCCGATTAATTAGGATGTCGTGAAAACGTTCACGACAAATTTTGTCGGCTGTCACCGTCAGTTATCGATAACTTTCCGGCAAGGCACACATACGGTCACTTTAAAGTGTCGTGGCTTGGTTTTTTGTATAGTTTTTAGTTTTAAAACCTTTAATTAATAAATAACAATGGCCTTTGAAGCGATACCCAAGGATTTGCGAGGACTGCGCGCCTGCCTCGTTTGCTCCCTGGTGAAAGTAGGTTGTGCTTTCCCTGTGATCCGGAACTTTTTAATGTACCCCCTTTTCAGAGTTTTGATCAATTTGAGACTGATGGCTGCGAAAACTGCGAGGAGTTCCTGCGCATGAAGAACAACAAGGACAATGTGTACGATCACACGAGCAACAACTTTGACGGAATTATTGCCCTGACCACGCCCACCGATTCCTGGGTGGCCAAGTGGCAGCGATTGGGTAAGGTCCTTATAACTAGGGTTCCATGGAGAACTACTATCATATTTTTCGAATCTCCCCCAGCTCGTTTCACCCGTGGCATCTATGCCATTTCCGTTTCCGGAACCCTGCCGCAGTCCACTTTGCGGGACATGAAGAACCGCGGGATCGTCTACAAAACCCGAGATAGAAGCCAGCGTTAAAACAAACCCGATTGCCGTACAAAATACATGTATAAATCTTTATTTTTAAGTTATAACAAAACCACGAATACATACAATAGCAATACAAAACGATTCCGCATCAGTCATCCAGCGGGGCAACACGCAATCCTTCGCCACCGGCCGTCGTCACATGGACCCCGAAGCCCGCCGATTCGAGCTCCTCCTTGAGCTTCCAGTAGACCTCGTTGCACTCATAGTTATCCGGCAGCAGGACGATCACATAGCCACCGGCACCGGCGCCCGTCAGCTTCGAGAAGAAGCCCCGCTTGAAGGCGATGGTGAAGATCTGCTCCAGCTTCGGATGCGACACGCCAATGGCCTTTAACAGATCGTTGTTGATCTGGAACAGACGCTCCAGTTGCTCGAACTTGGCGCTGTCGTCCTGGGCATTGCCAAAGCTCTCGTAGAGCGGCACGGCGGCGGTGACCAGCTCCTCGCAGGCCTGCCAAATGGCCTCGATGAGCTGCGGGAAGGCCTCGCCCAGGTGACGCACCTTGGCCACAATGTCCGCGGTGCTGCGACTCACACGACTGTCCACCAGCAGGATGTTCAGGGGCTTCTGGATCTTCAGCGACTGGAAGCCCTGGCCCTTGACGTACCGCAACATGCCACCGTAGGTGCACACTGTGTTGTCCAGACCCGAGGGCGTGCCGTGGTTAACGCGTTCCGATTCGAAGGCCCAGCTGGAGATGAGAGCCTGGTTTTCCTCCGCCAAGTAGCTGTCTGCGTCGAAGTGCCCGGCCAAGATGAGAAAAGTGGTGGCCAAGGCGGCGCCAAAAGAGGCGGAGCTGCCCAGACCCGCGCCCACGTTCAACTGGCTGTCTACCTGCACCTGGAAACCGGTTTGCAGTGTCAGCTTCGGATCGCCGGGTGCGGAGAGTACAGCGCCGGCCAGCAAATAGTAGATGGAGACAAAGGCCCGCTGGGTGTGCTGCTTGGGTGCACTGCCTCCGGAGCGTTCCAGCTGCTTCGAAACCTCTGCACGAACGGCTTCCAAGAGTTTAGCTGTGCTATCCGAAGGATATTTGCTCCTGAACTCAGCCAGGAAGCCGTTGAACTCGGGCAACTGGATCTCCAGGGTGCAGTTGAGTGCCTCCAGCTGGAAACTTGCCACATGGCTAGCCTCCAGCTGGCGGAATCTCAGGGTAGTGCCCAGGCCCACAACGGCGGCGAGGGCGGGACGATGATAGACAACTGCGTGCTCGCCATGGAGGATGACCTTGCCCGGAGAATGGACCTGGAACTTGAGCATTGTGTGTATTCGGTGTTCCGTGTGACTACGGCTTTATCGGTTTATCAGCTTTTCGGAATTGTAATGCTAATGCCTTTGGAGCAGACGAGTACTTAAACTTTTATTGTTGTTTTTTATGTAACGTATGCATTTAGCGGATCATCTGCGTTGTTTATCTGTTAACTCCTGTAGCTGAGTGCCGATTCCTGTGCTTTCCCTTTCACTTTCTTTGTTCGACTGGCGTTTTTTCGGGTTTCGGGTTTCGGATCTCGTCACACGCAAAAGCGCAACTACCAACGAACACGAACAACAGGTTATTGCGGCCCGCGTTTGTTGTTGCCTGTATGTGTATGGCTTGGTGTGCTACTACTATTGGGCTTTCACTTTCTCCCACTCTTCGGGCGTGTACGATTTCTGGGAGAATGCATGGATTTCTTTCAGTTCTTCTGCGAGCGTCGAATTGACTAATCTATGTTTTTGCAACAGGGTCTTGCCGTTGAAGGCCGGTGTCACGATTACGGCACTGAATTTGCCACCACAACCATCCGATTCGTCTGTCACACTCACGTACTCCGCTTGCAGTTCCCTTTTGAGCTTCTCCTCGAGGTACTTTGAGTTGTATTTACTCATTTTGGATGGCGTTTTTTTTTTTTTAACTCGTGTGCTGAGGCAGGTGTGTGACCGTTTTGGGCTTCGGATGAATTCAGTATGTTCGAACGCCGGTAGGGTGTTTTTCTCAGTATCTGGCCCTTGGTAACACTCATGAATATTTAAAATAAATTGAGAGTTTTCGTTTATTTATGGCTGTCTGATAATAAAATCAAACTTACTTAAAAGATAATTAACATTTTTCTATCACGAAAATCACGAGCTTTAGTTCTGTTACTAAGCACCGTTTTTAGTTCGCATAGTGAAGTTTACCTGGACTGTCTTGGTTTATACCCCTTATTTTGAATTTTTTACAAAGTCCCGTTATTCTTTGATTCTGTTTTTATATCAGTTTTAAAATTGAACATTTTACTAGACTAGTTTCATTGTCCCAACTATAATAAGCAGCATAATAAAAAAATAACGACAAATTCCTGCCTGTTATAAAGATTAATAGCATTACCAGACCTTTAAAAACTATTGATGGGTATAGCTATTTGGTACATTCGAAGAAGTAAATGGTATAAATAGATGTGCTTCGAATTATAGGGTCTTCCCACAGAGCTCCATCCACCATCTACCATCCGTTAAACGGATGGTCCGTAGGATTTTTGCCGTTCCGAACGGGCTCTTTTATGCGATAGTTAGGCGATGTTTTCTCGGTGCAACTCTGAATTCTTCCTCTTGACTGTGAAAATTGAAACGATGACTGCGAGAACAAATCAAATCGATGGCGGGAAAAAATTAAATAATGCTTCAGCTCATTGTTTTTTGTTTTTTTTTTTTTTTTAATTATTTGTAGTTTGTTATGAGCGGAAAAGCGTTCGCAATTAGGTTGCTATGTGTGCGCCAAAATGTAAGCTGTTGTGCGTACGAAAACATCAATGTTTGCAGCAAAGTGTCAAAATATGTTGTGCCTTTCGTAAATATAACTAATATTAATTAAAAGTGTACTCCTATAAAGTTTTAAAATTGCTATCATTTACCAAAAACAGCATAAATTTGGTTTTGTTTACAAATTTTTCACATTAATATTGTCTAGGCAGAGGCGTAGTAAGAGCGTGTCCTCCCGTATCCCAGGGAGGTTAGGCTCCTCCCCAGTCAGCAATATGTATGCATACTCGTTGTAGGATATGTTATAAGCGTTCAGATATGTTTTTAACCTATTTTCCTAATCTATTTATTGTATTATTCTACAATAAAATTAGGAGAACGCATTTTACGTCAGTTTTTCCGAGTTGAAACCCCCCTTCGTTTATGTTGAGCTAAGCAACTGCTCTTCAGTCAGCTGTAATTGGCTGGTAGATGGTGGATGGAGTTCTGTGGGAACAAGAGTTTCACATTCGTCAAAAATCCCAACCGTTTCAAACGGTTGGGCCATATCCGGCTTGTTTTATTTGGTAGGATGTAAACTTTAAGTTTGTACCCAATATGAAGTCAGATAGGCTTGCAACCTATCTAGATCGATAGATACTATCATTCTAAACAATTTGCATAAAATATTGTTCAATTTGGCCCCCAGAAGCCGAAAAAATAAAAAATTAAAAATTGGCCCCATGTTCCAAACTCTACCGTTCCACAATCGCCGCTAAGTCAACGACGCTGATTTGACGCACATTATAAATAGTATTTTTACCTGTATAATTTACCGATAATTCCACGGTCACACTGCCCAGCGCATTCATCGTAATTTTAGCGATAGGCACGCGCAGTTTTCCCACCATTCATTAAAAAAAAATCGCATGTAATTATTTACCATTTGTTTAAGCGAAACTAACTTAATTTAGTGTGCATTGTCACATATTCATGGCTTGAAAGCGTGACTAACTGTTTGACTTACGATTTGCAGTACCCATTGAAGGAATCTCGCGTGAAGCACGCTACATTGCCGAGGGTAAAATTGTGAAAAAAAACGGAGTTCAATTTTGGAGACAGACGCCGGCATTGCAAAGATGTCCAAAACAGAAACGGCCGCCGTGGAGGCAACCGAGGAGAACTCGGTAAGTTAGAACGCGGGGGGATAATCCAAGACAGGGCTTCTCTTACACACCGATCCCTTCCAGAACGAGACAACTTCGGATGCGGCCACCAGCTCGTCCGGCGAAAAGGAGGCCGAGTTCGACAACAAAATCGAGGCGGATCGCAGTAGGCGCTTCGATTTCCTGCTGAAGCAAACTGAGATCTTCACCCACTTCATGACCAACAGTGCCAAGAGTCCCACCAAGCCCAAGGGCAGGCCCAAGAAGATCAAGGACAAGGAAAAGGACAAAGACAAGGACAAGGATGCGGCCGAGTGAGTTGTGGAGCTGCTTCCCAAGAAAACGCATTCCTTTTACTTATGTTTTTTTCCCTTGTCCATCAGCCATCGGCATCGCAAAACGGAGCAGGAGGAGGATGAGGAGCTGCTGGCGGAGGACTCGGCCACCAAGGAGATTTTCCGCTTCGACGCCTCACCCGCCTACATCAAAAGTGGGGAGATGCGTGACTATCAGATTCGCGGACTCAACTGGATGATTTCCCTGTACGAGAATGGCATCAACGGAATCCTGGCCGATGAAATGGGTCTGGGAAAGACCCTGCAGACAATTTCCTTGCTGGGTTATCTCAAGCATTTCAAGTGAGTTTCAAAATTCGCCAAATAACAGAAGAAAAGCTATTAATGTCAAACCCTTCCTCCAGAAACCAAGCTGGTCCCCACATCGTCATCGTGCCCAAGTCCACGCTGCAGAACTGGGTGAACGAGTTCAAGAAGTGGTGTCCTTCCCTCAGGGCCGTCTGCCTGATTGGCGACCAGGACACGCGCAACACCTTCATTCGGGACGTGCTCATGCCGGGCGAATGGGACGTCTGCGTGACCTCCTATGAGATGTGCATTCGCGAGAAGTCGGTTTTCAAGAAGTTCAACTGGCGCTACTTGATCATCGACGAAGCGCATCGCATTAAAAACGAGAAATCAAAGCTCTCGGAGATCTTGCGAGAGTTCAAGACCGCCAATCGGCTGCTCATCACGGGTACTCCGCTGCAGAATAATCTCCACGAGCTGTGGGCCCTACTCAATTTCCTGCTGCCCGATGTTTTCAACTCCTCGGAGGACTTTGACGAGTGGTTCAACACGAACACTTGTTTGGGCGACGATGCGTTGATTACGCGCTTGCACGCCGTCCTAAAGCCCTTCCTGCTGCGTCGACTCAAGGCCGAGGTGGAGAAGCGGCTGAAGCCGAAGAAGGAGATGAAAATCTTTGTCGGCCTGTCCAATATGCAACGCGACTGGTACACCAAGGTGCTGCTCAAGGACATTGACGTGGTGAACGGCGCCGGCAAGGTGGAGAAGATGCGACTGCAGAACATCCTGATGCAGTTGCGCAAGTGCACCAACCACCCGTATCTGTTCGATGGCGCCGAACCGGGGCCACCGTACACCACGGACACCCATTTGGTGTTTAATTCCGGCAAGATGGCCATTCTCGACAAGCTGCTGCCCAAGCTGCAGGAGCAGGGATCGCGTGTGCTGATCTTCTCTCAGATGACGCGGATGTTGGACATCCTGGAGGACTATTGCCACTGGCGCAACTACAACTACTGTCGCCTGGACGGTCAGACGCCGCACGAGGATCGCAACAGGCAGATCCAGGAGTTCAACATGGACAACAGCGCCAAGTTCCTCTTCATGTTGTCCACTCGAGCCGGTGGCTTGGGCATCAATTTGGCCACCGCCGATGTGGTCATTATCTACGACTCGGATTGGAATCCCCAGATGGATTTGCAGGCCATGGATCGTGCCCATCGTATTGGTCAGAAGAAGCAAGTGCGCGTATTCCGCCTGATCACCGAGAGCACTGTTGAGGAGAAGATCGTGGAGAGGGCCGAGGTGAAGTTGCGGCTGGACAAGATGGTCATCCAGGGTGGTAGATTGGTCGACAATCGTTCTAATCAGTTGAACAAGGATGAAATGCTTAACATTATCCGCTTCGGAGCCAATCAAGTGTTCAGCTCCAAGGAGACTGACATTACAGACGAAGACATTGACGTTATTCTGGAGCGCGGCGAGGCAAAGACGGCCGAACAAAAGGCCACGCTGGACAGTCTGGGCGAGAGTTCACTGCGCACATTTACGATGGACACAAATGGCGAGGGAGGCACCTCCTCGGTCTACCAATTCGAGGGCGAGGATTGGCGTGAGAAGCAGAAGCTTAATGCTCTGGGCAACTGGATTGAACCGCCCAAGCGAGAGCGCAAGGCGAACTATGCAGTGGATGCCTACTTTCGGGAGGCACTGCGCGTTTCTGAGCCCAAGGCTCCGAAGGCACCACGCCCACCCAAGCAGCCCATCGTGCAAGACTTTCAATTTTTCCCACCCCGTCTCTTCGAGCTGCTAGACCAGGAGATCTACTACTTCCGCAAGACCGTCGGCTACAAGGTGCCCAAGAACACTGAGTTGGGCTCGGAGGCCACAAAGGTTCAGCGCGAGGAGCAGCGCAAGATCGACGAGGCTGAGCCGCTGAGTGAAGATGAGATACAGGAGAAGGAGAACCTGCTCTCACATGGTTTTACCGCCTGGACCAAGCGCGACTTCAATCAGTTTATTAAGGCCAACGAGAAGTACGGTCGTGATGACATCGACAACATTGCAAAGGACGTGGAGGGCAAGACACCGGAGGAGGTTATCGAGTACAATGCGGTCTTCTGGGAGCGCTGCACTGAGTTGCAGGATATTGAGCGAATTATGGGACAAATTGAGCGCGGAGAGGGCAAGATACAGCGACGTCTTTCTATCAAGAAGGCCTTGGATCAAAAGGTTAGTTGTTATTTAGTTTTTTATCGCTCTTTCGTTTTCATTTATTGTTTATACATTGGTTTTATAGATGTCCCGGTATCGCGCGCCCTTCCATCAGTTGCGACTGCAATATGGCAACAATAAGGGCAAGAATTACACAGAAATCGAGGATCGATTTCTGGTTTGCATGCTGCACAAGTTGGGCTTCGACAAGGAGAACGTTTACGAGGAGCTCAGAGCGGCCATAAGGTAAGGATAAACCTTGATTTATAAAAGAACTGAACACTACTAATTATCTCTTTATCCCGCAGAGCTTCCCCTCAGTTCCGTTTCGACTGGTTCATCAAATCTCGCACAGCTCTAGAGCTACAGCGTCGTTGCAATACACTGATTACCCTCATCGAACGTGAGAACATCGAGCTGGAGGAGAAGGAACGCGCCGAGAAGAAGAAAAAGGCGCCCAAGGGCAGCGTGTCCGCGGGCAGCGGAAGTGCCAGCTCCAATACCCCAGCACCCACGCCGCAACCGAAGGCCAATCAGAAGCGAAAGAGCGAGGTGGTGGCCACCAGTTCCAACTCGAAAAAGAAGAAGAAGTAGAGAGGCAATGGAGGAACGATATTCACATGAGATTTGGCTCCACACTCAGCATTAGGCAGTTACACACTTAGTTAAGACAAGCGATTACTTAAACATATTTCACTCGACATAGATACTTAGTTTTTAACTCACACCGGAAGCAATTGCCCCTCAGCCCCCGAATATCTTCTGAACACACCCGCTACACACATCCAACTATTTTACTATTGCGCGCCGCTGTATTCTATTCCAAGTAATTGTACTTTGTTCTAAGACCGTAACCATTATATTTATATATTGCAAAACAGCTATGATGATTTTTTCGGAAGGGAATCCCCCATAGAAAACCACGCCGCGTTGTCTTTTTTCATACTGTTCGCTTTATGGTTTGGAATGCTGAGCAACTTAACATAATAACATTTATAAATTCTATGAATTGCAGCTTAGTTTGTGTAACAGGGCACTTAAACTTAATATCATCTTGTTCATGCAGTCAACGGCATCGGCAATTTGGCATCCGAGCCGCCTGACCATGTTCAACATGGCCGTAAGTTGGGTCTGATGTGGATGTGGATGTGGGCTTTGCCTGCTCTTTGAACTCTTACTCGTCTTTCGTCTCGTCTCGTCTCCATCGCTGGAGCTACCTGCATCTAGTGTAATACTACGTGTTAACCTCTGGCAACCTCCTTAATCCTCGCCGCTGTACATTTCGATGATCTCGTTAATACTGGCGACGGCGCCGGCAACCAAAGCCAGGATGGAGAACACACCCAGGAAGATGTTCTTGGCCAGCTTCCACTTGCAAACGCCCAGGCGATCGGGCCACAGGTAAACGGTCTCCACGAAGCTGGGCACAAAGATGCCCAGCAGCGAGAAGAACACGGCACCGACCAGACTGATGAAGGGTTCCAGATTGGGGATGGCAGCAGCCACACCGCCGCTCACCAGGATAATGCCACTGCGCAGCAGGATCTGTGTCATGTTGTGCTTCTCGGGACTGAACTTGTGACTGATCTTGCGCCAGAGGATCTCGTTGGGCACATAGAACTGCAGGCCGAAGGTGAAGAGGATGGCCACGGCCATCAGGAGCTTCGCTGTATCCCCCAACCAGGCTCCTTCCGGCAGATTCAGCGTGATGCTGCCTCGCACCTGGTCGCCGAACCTCACATAACCGAAGAATCCGATGATGGCGTACAGCGAGACGACGGTGATCATGGCCGTGTTAAGGACACCCGGGCATCCCAGGAAATGTTGGGGCTTCTTCATCGAGTTCTCCACCGGCATTACAACACCGATTCCCTCCATGGCGAAGATCACGGTGGCAAAGAAGAGCGGAATGTGGGCCGCCTTGGCAATCAAGGGCTTGTCGGAGTAGACCAGCGGCTCATCGAACATGTAGTACAGCGTGATGGCGAAGGTGACGACAATGAAGATGTTGGCCATCATCGAGAACGGCACCAGCCACTTGAGGTCGCGGATCTGACCGATCAGCAGGCAGGGAATCACGGTTATGGCGATGTAAATGCGCACATCCCAGTTGATGCCGCAATCGTAGTTGATAACATCGTGGAAGGATGTGGCAATAAATACGATATACACACATGCCGCCGCATAGTATGTGGCCATCAGACCGATGTCAACGAATTGCCTGGAAGAGGATTATAATTGTCATTAAGGATCGTCAACTGGATTATTCCTTATCCCCCTACTCACTTGGCAAAATTGGAGTAGGGTCGCATTCCCTTCGGTCCGTACTCGAAGACCTTCTCCGCCGTTTCGGCGAATCCCAGAGCCGAAACCTTGGCATCCCGGCAAATGTTGTGCGAAGTTTTGACCTGTAGAACAAGATTTTTATATAAAATTTAGATTCTAAATGATAATAACTAAATTTTAAATTTTAAATGCTTCAAATAAGTTTTAAATTTAAAGTCATGAAAGGAATCTAATTATCTTCTTAACTTTTAGCTTTCTGAATCAGTATTATATCATCCATTTTTAGAATCGAATACAGGAATATTTTCTGTATTTTCTGTCCATAAAAAATATTATTTAATATTTATTGGAACAGCTTTAAATTATTTTTAAATGTATTTACCAATTTGTATGTGCATAAGATACACCTAATTAAAACTGGAAACAGCTGCTTTAAAATGTTAAATTTAAGTGTACGCGATTGCCAAACACTTGAAGTTTTAGTGCAGGTTGTGTAACTGCCGGTTGACCGACTTAAAAATAGTTTTTACTGGGAATCTATAACTTACTCGATCTAATATTTCAACCGCAATCTGTAAATCTAATTGATCGTAGTGCTGAGCACTTGAAACGGCGCTCGGGAAAAGTCCAAAATGACTGTCCAAATCCTAACGCTATAAATCTGCTGACTGGAGTGGTTTATTATGTATGTCCGCATTTATATATATGACCGATAGATGAACGGTGGTGACTCGGCCATTCTAAGAAATATTTTAGTTGATTTATACAATGTTTGGGCACGCGATTCCAAAGATGTCTGGATTTTGGAGTGCTGCTAATTCTGGGAAATTACGTCTTGGTGGATTTGCAAGGATCGGAAATGCTTGGTCGTAAATATAAGTCATAAAACTACGGCAATCGAACATTGTATCTCCCCGCGATAAGGACTAGTGGCGACTAGTCTGCGTTTCCAGACGCGTGCAACGATTGGACTGTCCGTTGCAGTGCTTATCTGGGCCCTAAGTCTTCTATTGGCCATCGATTCGGCACCTTGAACTACTTAAAACTCCGGGAACTACGTCAGCCAAGGCTTAGGCGGCTCACCTGGTCTGACTGCTGTCTGTCTTGGTAATTGTTTGATTCAACAGTCACTATCAGGTGCTAAAATCCTAACCATTTTGCTTACCAAAATATGTACGCAGTGGGTGCAGAGGAATCCGACGATCAGCGTCATGGCCATTCCAAAAGCCAATCCGGCATTGTGAAAAGCCATGGGCATGGCCAAGATTCCCGTTCCCAGGGAACTCTTGAGCAAGTGCGCCAAGGCGCCGCCGGCACTGGCTCCATTGGGATCGCGGTGCTCGAAGGGATGGTAGGGATCCTCCGACAGCGACAGCTGGTTCTTGTCTGTCAAGCTGGATCTGTGGGAAGAAGAGTGAAAGTGTTATCTCTCGAGCTTATCGCAACTTTGTATGACAAATTTGTAATAAAATCAAATATGAACCTCAGCGAAATTCACTTTTTCACCTCAAATGTATTAATTTAACTTTACATTTACCAAAGTTTTCAATACTTTCGAATCATGACTTTTTGTAGAAATGTAACGAACTTTTACTTTTTTTTTTTTTTTTTTTTTTATTTTTTTTTTTTTTTTTTTTTTTTTTTTTTAATTTTTTTTTTTTTTTTAAAAAAAAAATATTTTAATTAAAAAAAAAGAAAGAGGTTTTAGAAATTGAAATTTTAATATTTAATGAAAATTTCCTTTTCAATAATGAAAATAATTTATGATATACGGAATATTGTGATATTATTACTACCATGAATAAGAAATATTCATAATGTAAAATATGAAGGATTTGTATTTATTTGCATGATTTAAAATGTTATATAACATTATTAATAATCATAAAAGATTTTAATTAGTGATTTTAGTCGACCTATGTTTACTATTGAGTGCGTTAGCGAACTCGAGGTCATTTTTAGAAGTTGAGTTTATAAATTAACAGACCAGCATTTTTAAAAATAACTTTAAGGATTTTATTTTAAATTTGGATCCATAAAATTAGGGATACTTACTTCGAGTTGAAGTCACTTAACGTGGCGTTGTTGTAAGAGGGCGGGTTCTCTGCTGGTGGGTCCGCCGAAGGGACGGAGGCCGGACCATCTGGGGTAAATCCCTTATTATCTGCCATCTGAAACACACAAATAAATCGGGATCGATTGTTATTAAATGAAATTAACACATTTGATTGATCGGCCGCACACGAACGGGCTTTTATCGCAGAGAGGAAGCACGAGATTCGCTTTCGTTGGCCATTTAAGGCTTGGGTTAATCCGCTCGAGGGTTGCTAGGCACAAGCCAGGCATATCTTATCGACTTTTGGGAACATTCGAGTATTAAAATTGCCTTACCAAGAGATTTCTGATACTGGCCGATCGTTATCGGAAATGCCTAAGAAACGAGCTGGGGGTGGGGTCGTGCAAATAAACAACAATCGCACTTCGTTCATAAAATTCAGCTTTATGGTGCCCTAAAAATGCTTGTAATTCCTTTGACTACAGCCGTAAAATGGGACCCTAAATCAGCGTCCATATAGTAGTCACCACCTATTTTTCCTATTGAGTTGATGTTGATTCATTCTTGTGGGTTATAATAAAAGTTCTTTAACGCGGCAGCCGATCCACTTATCCCCTGCAATTTACCCGTGTTCTTTGAACTCAGATTAGCACAATCTTCATAAAATGCTTATTTATGAGCCGCACCCTCATCTATTAAAATTTATGAATCTATTATGGTATTGTTAAATAAAATGTGATGTTATTGAAGGCCGGGAAATTTGTTGTCTTTGGCTATATAACAACCATAAACAAAAAGGTCACATGTCGGATTTCTTGGCTGACCAAAGTTCCATATTAAGAAGAAAGTGAAAACATTTCTTTATTGTTTTTGAAAGTTAAAGGATCAAAATGAATATAAAAAAATAATACATTTTGGTAATTTGTATATTTTTAATGTTTAATTTCAATTCAAATATAATTACATTTTAAAACCATTTATGGGTTTTCTACTTTGCTTGATAAAGCAGCAGTCAAACAAGATTTTATCTTTTCCATGGCATACATAATTTCGATCGATCACAAAGTCTTAAAACAATGGAAAATTTTCGAAATTGTGCCAGTAAAAACTAGAAAAAGCTTAATAGCCATTGTTTGCAAAACAATTTATGTATTTCCGATATGACTTGATAAAACCGTAGTAAAATATGATTAAATTGCGATTTTGTTCTTCTTTTCCACGACATCCTTAATTTTAATCGATCATTATGTCCAAAAGCAATTGAAAAGTTGTTAAAACTGGGCCAGTATTTACCAAAAAAGTTGTATTCCCATTGTTTTCGGAATATTTATGGAGTTGAACTTAAATTTGGTAGAAATAATACATTTGGGGGAAAATTTAATTGGTACTTAGTCA